TCGGGGCTTGTCCTTGTGAGGGCGGGCGGCGACCTTGTCGGTGCAGGTGATTTGGCGGGAACTTTTTAAATGTTGGTACGCTGTGACGTCATGACGTCGAACACCCGAAGGGGAGAAAAAAATCGGGGGGGGGGGTCCCGAGGTATTGTGGGAGTTGTAGTCGTGGGGCTGGGAGTAGCACGAAGGCCTGCCATGGGGCAGAGCAGACTTCCAGCGAGTGGAGGAGGGTTGCAGGGGTCAGAGGGACTGAGGAGTAGTCAGGGGTAGAGCTGGGAACAGATCTGCAACCTGAGGGGGGGACGCACTTTCACTGTGGAACCAGGACGGTCCTCTCCAAAGCTGGCCAGGAGCTGCCTAACGTTTTGGGGACCAGGACTGTCCTCTCCGAAGCTGGCCAGGAGCTGCCTAAAGTTTTGGAAGGGGCTTTAAAGTCGCATGCATGTTGCATGCTGGTTACTTGCTCCCGCCTTGCACTGGGGGGAATAAAATAATTCCCCCAGCATGAATTCTGGGAACCTTTTTTCATAGCCCCTCTTATCCGGTCACTGCTGAGATCGTCTGTCTCTCAACAGCATTTGGCCTCCTTACCCCAGTGTAGTGCAACATTGCAAACCTTGTTTGCTCTTTTTTTTTTCCCTTTCTCTTGTAGGCTGCAGCTGAAGGCGAGGCAAAGGAGGAGGTAGGCTTGTTTCAGAGTCATTAATAAAATGCAGTGGGTTTTCAGAAGTTCTCAATAAAAGCACTAAGCAGGGCCCTTGGTACCATACAGGAGCTGAGACAGGTGTTTGAGGCAGGCTCAGGGCTTAAAAGGATGACATAAGAGCCCCTCTGCAGTGCTGGGGTCCAGTGTGTGGGGCTGTTGCACGAGACTGGTGGGAGAATTTACTGGTGCCCCAGCTGCTAAGCTTTGTTTAACTGGGAGTTTTACTGGACTAGCACACTGAGACAGAAACAGCCTCTTCTCTGAGAATTTACAGTTTCAGGGTAAACATGTCTTAGTCTTCTGTAAGACTGTGCTCCATTCATAGCAATGGAGATTCCCCACTGCACAGCAGCTGATAGTACTGGGGTCTTGTTACTTTCCCAGAGTATGTTTAGAAGGAGAGCAAGCAGTGAAAGAAATACATACCCAGGAGGAAATGACTGGTTATTCTTAGCATTTGTTTAATGCTTCATTCAGTAATAGCTGCAACTTCTGATTTTATAATTCTGAGAATTTACAGCTGCATGTGCGTCTTGAATTGTATTCATTCATCTTTCTTTTATGCAGCCAAAGAGGAGGTCAGCTAGATTATCTGCTGTGAGTATCATCATCTTTTTCTAAAAGCAAAACACATTACATTTGTATATTAAAAATTCAGGTCAGTGGTAAAAAAAAAGTTTTGTGAGTAGCTCTCAGGCAACGTTTTGAAGGGCAAATATAATTGCATAGGGTTATAACTTAATACTTAGAAACAAGTCATGTACCACATGGTCCCAAGGCTTGTGTATCAGTGTACTACAGAGGCAGCTCCTACATTTTATGCACACAAGATGAAACCACTATGCTAGTTTAAAAACTCTTGGTCACTCGTATACAGAAAGAGCCTGACTTTGCAGTCTTTACTCGCACAATAAGTCCAGTCATTTTTACAGGTGGCTTCTAGGCACAAAAGTCACAAAACTGAGGAACCAAGAGCTGCTGTACACCCCAAAGAGTGTGTTTGTAATCTGAAAGTGTACAGGAAGGTTCAGAGCAAAGCAGGACACTCCTGTAAGTGTTCCATGTTTGGGAGTCCTCAACACAAAAGATTGGGTCCAGCTCATGTTAGAAAGGAAGTTGAAAGTACATTAAGTTTCAAAGAAATGCTCCTCTTAGTAAAAACAAGCTTCCTGTGCATACAGAAAGCAGTCTGCTAATGACAGGGGTAAGCTTCATCCTAGACTGCAAGAAGCTTAGATACATTTGCTGTCCTTTAATGAACATCTATAGTAGTGCAGAGTGCTCTGCACCATTCAGAGTACTTTATATATTATTTTAAACAAACATCTGGGTGGAATAAACATATTGAACAACTCAGTCTTCCAGTAAATGTTTTAAGTCTGTACCGGTTTTTTGTACCACAACAGGGGGAACACGTGGCTCAAAGTCTTTGCTTGTGTTTTAAAGCTAGCGTAAGAAATAAGCATACTGAGGTCCTGGTGCTCATCTGACACTTTATCTTTATTTCCTTTTGGTACAGAAACCTGCTCCACCGAAACCGGAGCCAAAGCCCAAAAAGGCAGCACCTAAGGTAAGTATCAAGACATCTTCAATTGAAAGAAGGGTTTTCTTTCCAAAATGTAGTAATAGAAAAGTTTGCAGGTAATGGGCTTGTTTATCCTTTTAAACATATCAGTGTTGTAGTAAGGCTTTTTTGCTTATTTAGAGGCATCTTTTAACAGAATCCTAAAATGGTGAGCTTTTTCATCCTGCTGCAAGTGCAGGAACACTTCCTGTGGTAAATTCTTGAGTGATTTATCTGTATTCAATTTTAAGTCACTTGTAATGAGGTTTACACTATTTGCCTCAGGAGACTGTTCCACAATTGGATAGAACTTGGGGCATTTATACTTTGAATAGAAATTGGAGAACTAGAGCAATAGGTGGCCTATCATTCCAGTTGCCTCTGACCTTTGATTTTAAAGCCCTGTCTTCAGTTGTCAGACTAACTATTAGAGCTAAAATTTTTCTGTACTTAGTTTCTTAGGGCTTCTATACACGTGCAGGGGAGGCTGCTCTGTAATTCCAGCGTGTCAGAGCAGACTCAATTTAAGTGTAGGAATTACCGCGCTCTAGCCAACTCCAGCATCACGTGTATCTGCATCCCTGCATTGAAAAATGGAGGCAGGGCACTTTAAACTAAAGCTCGTTCATTAAACTAAGGCTGGGTGTTTGTTGGAAAGGTTAGCCAGAGTAGTTCATCCATTTCTGAGACCATAGTTAAAGTAGTGTTTTTGTTTGTTTTTTGTTTTGTTTTAATCCAACCATTTAAAGCTCCTTGGCAAAAAAAACTTGAAATTTAGAAGGCTCTTGAGACAAGAATGTTTTGTCGTCGTCCCCCCCCCCCCCCCAAAAAAAAAAAAATTCACTCAGATTATATCCAATTAGAGTGATTTTTTTTTTTTTTCAGGTGCTTGATGACATGCATGCAGCAGGCTTTGCTAGGTGTTTGCTGCTACAATAGCTGAATATTTCAGCTGCCCTGAGCCTGCTTGAAGTCCCTTGGTGGCCCTGGCAAAGGAAGGGAGTAGTATGTGGCTGAGGCCTAGAAAAACAGGAGTTCCAGGTTTTTTTGGTTGGTATCAAACAATTGTATATATTTAGTGGTCCTTCTGCTTGAAGATGGCATCATTGCCCCAAGAGGACCCATTGTTTTCTATTTCTCTGATTTACCCATGAATGATCTAAAAGACAGCCCAGGGTCTCCAGAGTTGGCAGGTTGTAGAACCTAGCTTTCTCTTATGGTAGACCCATGTCTTATCCATATGGGCTTATTATATCTTTTAGAGCAAGTGTTTCATATCTGCGGTCTGGATTGTGCAGTTTAACCATCCAAAAACATTCCAGGGCCAGTCGAAGAACCTGGAAGTCCCTGTACTCAACATTCTTCTGTTGTGTAAGCTTTTGGCAAAGTGTGTATTATATCTCCCTCTAGTGGCTGGTAGTGATTCTTTTAGGGCAAGTGGTGTAGATGTGCTTGGGGGATTTAGAGGTCTTGGGTTCATCCTCCGCTGATGACCTTGCACAGGTCAATACAGTTCCACATGATGCACCTTGCTTTTTTCATAGCTTTTGCAGACACCACACGTAAAAGCTGTGTTAATAGGTTGTTAATATTGCAAAATACGATCGAAACTTAATTTGGTCTTCTTGTGCATTTGCATTACGATGAACTCTGTAATGATTTGTTCACATATTGTTATGTAGGAGCAGTGCCTTAGTGTTTGCACAGTGGGTTGCAGGAAGAAAAATACTTTTCTTGCATTTAAGGCACTGGATTTCAAGTGAGGAAAACTGAATTTTATTCTTAGTTTCATCACACGTTCCTATGTGATGCTAAGCAAGGTTATCAGAATGTATACACAACTGGAATGGAATAAAAATGTGTAACCAGTTACCCTAAGTTTGGCCTTTTCCCCACAGTGCTTAACTTTACAACTTTTATGTCCTTGTGAACAGCATTTTTATTTGGAGGGGAAAAACAGGAAGAATATTTCCTAACTTTAAAAATTATCCATAAATTAAATATCAGGGCTGACAAAAAGTGCTACACAAACGCACCTTATTTTGTTATTGTTATTAACAATACAAGAAAAATTAGTAAAAAAACAGTATTGGTTTGGTGACACCATCCATGAAAAGTGAGCAACAGAAGAGTTAATATTGTTTTGTTAGCTCTGTCTTGGAATTTCTATAGGGTGGAGGATAGGATGCCTTTCTCAACTGGAGTGCTACCTCTAAGGAAGATAACTACCACTCTACTGATTAGAAAGGTTACCCAAAAGGAAATCTTCCTACCCTTTGTAATGGACAAATAGCCTGACCCATTAACTTTAGGTATTGTCTTTGAAGCTGTGTTTTAGGCCTTGTACAAGTGTTCCCAGTTTTGAGTTGCATAGATTTAGCATGAAGTAATTGCCATATGCTGTTAAGCTAAGTGTTTAAAGAAACAGGTACATTTTTCATAGACATTAGGGGCTGGAAGGGACCTTGTGAGATCGAGTCCAGCCCCCTGCCAGAGGCAGGAGGTCTGCAGGGATCATATGATCCCAGCAAGTTACACATGCAGATGCCTTTTGAATGAGTCCAGGGTAGGTGCTTGCACCACCTCTGGGGGGAAATCTGTTCCAGACCTTGGACACTCAGACTGTAAGGTTTATAGAATTGGCCTTCTATAAGTTTGTGTCTGTTGGACCTAGTTATCCCTTGGGGAGCCCTGGTGAATAACTGTTCTCCCAGATCCTAATGCACCCCTCTTATATATTTATAGGCAGCCCCCAAGTCCCCCCTGAGCCTTCTCTTTGCCAGGCTGAAGAGTCCCATGTCCCTCAGCCTCTCTTTGTAAGGCTTGCTCTTGGCCTTTGATCATACGGGTGGCTCTCTTTTGGACTCCCGAGCTTATCCACATCCCTCTTGAAGTGGGGGGCCCAAAACTGATTGCATTACTCCAGCTGCGGCCTCACTAAAACCGAGTAAAGCAGAAGGATGACATCCCTGGTTTTGCTTCAGATGCATCGGTGGATGCATGCCACATTTTGGTTTGCTTTGCCGGCCATAGCATCGCGTTGGTGGCTCATGTTAATCTTGTGGTCAGTCAAGACCCCAAAGTCTTTTTTTTTTGGTCGCCGTGCTAGCAAAATTTTCTTGATTTCTAGCCAGGATATTCATTCCATGTTATGCAAAATTTCTTTATAATTACCTGTTTACATCTGTATACTTAGAAATATTACATTTTGCAAGTACGCATACTTCTATCTCTGAGTGGTTGAGAATATTCAGTTTAGTGTAAGTGGAGTTTTTGGGACTAAGATGTAGATCCTCAGAATCAAAGTTAATAATCTTACTATTTATGTAGCATAGCCAGCATTTGATTCAAAAGTGCAAAAAGCTGTTACTGTAAAATTAGTGTCAGGTATGGTTTACTACTTAGTTGCTGATTCCTGTTTAAGGAAGTTTTACGCCTCCACACTTAAGATTTCTTTTTCTTTTTAACTGCAGTGGTACTGAGTTGTATATAATATAGATATACTGCTGTCATTGCAAGGACTACTTCTGAAAGTGGTCTTTGATTTCAGTTTTTTATAATTCTCTAAATAGGAAATACACTTGATCTGAGCCAAAAGGCATCATATTATAATACCCAAAGAATTTCTGTGTTTCTGTTGGATGCACATACTCAGGTTATTCATTTCTTTCACATGCCTTGATGGGTGGCTGCACAGCAAAATTGCCAGTTAGTCCTAATCAAACATTGTAGCTAATTTAATTAAATTTGTATTTAAAATAGGATTTTTTTTAACCCCAAGTAAAGAGCATGCTTTTAACTTTGTCCATATGTTGTGATAGTAGCACATGAAGGACAGACTAGAGAACAAAGAACTTTGTGATAGAAACTTCCATGATGTGCACCCACTTGTGTTAATTTTATTTCCAATAAGTAGCAGTAAGATTTTTTTGGTTTTGTTTTTTTGTGGGTTTTTTAGACAAAACTTCTGTCAGAATATGTCAGAGTACTGACATACAGATGTACGTCGAAACTGGGGATTGTATTTATCATGCATTCTTGTTCATGTAATTTGATCAGAAAGAGAAAGCAGCAAATGATAAGAAGGAGGACAAAAAAGCAGCAACAAAAGGGAAGAAGGGAGCCAAAGGCAAAGATGAAGCTAAGCAAGAGGACACTAAAGAAGAAAACCACTCTGAAAATGGAGATACCAAAACTAATGAGGTACTTAACAGCAGTGCGTACATGAGGAAGTGGAGTCTTAAACTATTCAATATTTAAAGCCACTGTAGGGACAAATATTCCACCTTTATCTTTTTGAGGGTAGCCCAGTTCAGGTGCTTATATGAAGGCCAGCTGAAGTAGCCATGCTGAAAGTTGGGGCTTCTGAGGAAGCTGAAGAAGACCTCCATCTTTCTATTGTGGGTAGTAAAACTCACAGCTGGTCTCATAGCATTGCTCCCTGCATTGGCATACAGAAGGACTAGAAAGCCTAGGTAGCCACAGACCCCCATGACATGCTTCCTGTTTTACCCAGAACTGGGCCTTGTCCACCATCTGTAGGCTGGTGGTTTGCTTCCACAGCCCAGGGAGGGCTGACACCCCCCCCCCCCCCACACACACACACACACACAGAGTTTGATTCAGATCTTCTTTTTCAGGGCACACCTTTTGGCTCAATAATAATAATAATAATAATAATAATAATAATAATAAAAAAAAATCCAGCATGCATTCTGCATGCAAACCTAGCCTCATCCCTTGACTGAGCATCTTCTGTTCCCTGTGTGTTTCTACTCCAGCAGCCATTTACCTAAGAATCGGCCTACACCAGGATTTGCTAGACACTGATTTGTTTCCTGTAGACTTTTCCTAGGCGCTCTCCCAACCTTTTGTAAGAACCACCTGAAACGTCTTTGTCACTACCATTCCAGCTGGGTCTGATAACTGAACAGTTGTGTCTAGCCTTGGTCCCACATGTATCCTTGAAGGGGAAATAATTTTGTGACAGTGTGAAGTTTCTGTCGTGCTATTTTGAGCCTGTTACATAGGAAGGGGCATGCTTGTATCTGTGAAGGAAATATTTTAACATGGTGCTTGGAGTAGAGAAGGAGGAGGGATATGGGTATAGATTTGATAGGGGCTAGGATTTTATTATCGTGGTATCCAAGTTGCAATAAACAAGTTTTCAGTTCAGAAAGGTCTTGCTTCTGGTGTTAGATTTCTGTGGGTTTTTTGTGGGTGGGAGTTTAATGGTGGGGGAGGTCTGGGGATGGAAACCCTCCGAGACTCAAAAAGTTTGCTTGTTGAAAATTGAATATTGCATTAATGGATGCATCTGCTAGAGCAGTGGTTCCCAAACTGGGTTGTGACCCCAAATGGGGTCACAACATCAGCAGATGGAGTTGTGGGGGTTAGGGGTTGGGAGTGAGGGCCATGCTGAGGAAATGGGGCCATAAATGAGGTCACACTGAAGAAAAGTTTGGGAAGCACTGTGCTAGAGACTGTAGGCTTTGAGTAACTTTGTAGGAGGAGAGTGGAATCTCTTTGTAGCTACACTTGTTCCAATCATAGGAACATTAAGCAAATGTTGCTAAGATCTGTTTTTTAAAAGATGAAACTATAGAGGATTACCATATTTTACACACAAATAATTCTTAAACTTCCCTTCTAGCCCATGTATATGAAGACTTTTATGTTCTAATTTATGTGAAATATTCCAAACCTCCACTTCTCTAAATTTACCTTAGTAAATTGTTGACTTCATCAATTCTCTTTTTTTTTTTTTTAATTTGTTTACAAAAATTCCAGCATGCTCATGTCTTCCTTAGTAATTTTGTATTGTTGTCTAGTCACTTAAAAGGGTTTATGTTTGTGTATTTGCCAACTAACCTTTCCATGATGCAGTTTAGATTGGGGTATTATTAGTTAAAATGTAATATTTCTGTTCTTCCCAAATGCTTTCATAGGCACCAGCTGCTGAAGCATCTGATGATAAGGAAGCCAAGTCCGAGTAATGTTAACCCTGCCCTATATCTCCATCATTTGGTATCCGTACCTCCATGCTGTATTGTTAACAGAGAGGAATATTTTTATCAACTATTTTATAAATGCAGGTTTTTTTAGCATGAATTTAATTATGGAACATCTTCATCTCGGTTACTTGGGAATTAAATCCCTAACAAAACAAAAAAAAATCATTGTTTTTAAATTTTGTGATTGTAATAGTTTGTATGGTACATGGAAAGAATAAGTGGTGGTAGCTTTTGACTTCTGTCAGTGTGTCCCTTTTTGTGTAAGTCATGCTTACAGACTTCAGATTTTAATTTTACCCTTGTATGTGTTGTATGGTTTCTTAAAGTGGGGAGGTCTCAAAACAAATAACTGTTAAACATTCCAGTGGTTCTGTGGGTTGCTTTTATAAAGAAGGTGAGATATTTTCATGAAAATCTTAAGAGCTGGAAATCTGCTGTTTCCCAAATGTAATTTTATTTTGTCAGTTTTGAAAAAAAAATAAAAGTGTAATCTTGTTTTTAAATGAAATACAAAATTTCTTTTAAAAGGGCAGGTTGGTTGTATGTACCCACTGTTAGGAATTTTGCTGGATTTATCTTAATAAAAAAGACTCCTCAAAAGTTGATTGTGGTTTGTTGCTTGTGCTGTAAACTTGTATTATTGGAATATAATGAACCACCTAACAGTGGTTAGTAGCACAATGCATCATGTTGAAAGAAACCATGTAGCCAGCAGGCCTTTGAGTTCACAACAGGATCAACAGTTGGGTCTGTAAGCCATTTTCTTCAGCAACATAGACAAATACCGATATGGGCCAGACCCAAGCAGGTGAAATTGGCATGGCTACATTGGTTTCAGTGCACGTATACTGATTTACACCATTTGGGAGTCTGGTCCTACATCTTCATTGTAAGGCCTTAAGCCCTCTTTCACAGATTGTAATGCCTAAGGCTTATTTCTGTTACTATTTAAGCAAAGATGATGCGTTTAAAATATATGGCATAACCATAATAGAAATTATTGTGATTAACCTCCCAAAATGTTAGGGAAACCTATTTATGTTAGATTTGCTAGTCACTTCAATATCGTTTCTTAGTTTCCTTTTGCCCTAAGACCATTGCGTACGTTTTTATGCATAGAGGTTTCAAGGTTATTATGCTTTGATAGTATGAAATGGCTTTCTGTCGTTGTTAAGGGAATGTTCTATAGCATTGCTTAAAATATGCCCTTCCCTAATTCTTGTTTATAAATTCACTTACTTAAGAATTTATTACTTTAAAAGGAATTTCAGGAGCCCATTTACTATCTTCTAGTAGGAGGCACACAGGTATACACAAGTGTTTCCCATTAATGCAATACTCTTCCTGATTAATTTGGGAGATGGTAACTAGGCTCCAGGCCAGAGTTTAAATGGAGTAATAATAGTTTTCTACCTAATTTTATTCCTGTTATTACAATTATACATTCAAATTGAATATCAAAAATATTCTACATCTTCATCTTAGAGTATTCTTTTTATTAAAAAATCATTCACATTCATGGCCTGATAGATCACTCATTTACCAAGAAGAAAAATGTTTGTGGTGCAGAATTTAAACATTACCTTCTGTACAGAACTATCTGGCAACCCTGGAATACAGTATATGTATATGCTGTCAAATAAAAAACCTCACTTGATATGGTGTGTTTTAGCACAAGCCTGAAAAATTTTCAGTTTTGCATTAAGGTTCTGAGTAAGAAGGTGCATCTGAGACCATAAAGCATTCATCTTGCCATTGATGGTGTTATTTACCCTCCACCTACGCTTATTTTTATAAGGGTTGAGAAGTGGGGAGAACTTGGTCTTTATTGTGAAATGTGAGAACTACTGTGCTGTTCCAATTATGTGTCAGATTTTTCCCTGGAAAAGAACCATAAAAATGACAGTCAACCTATTCTTAGTGCCAAATTATAATTGGAACAATATAGTAGTAGTATATGGAGCAGATGACCCTGCCTGGAATGATGGCAGCTGGTTCAGTTCATGCAGGAAAGGCCCACAATGGCTGGGGCAAGCCAGATGACCACCACTGTAGTTCCAGGGAATGGCCCTAGTCTGCTGCACTGGAGTAAGAGGCAGACAGGATAAGGAAGCCAGGAGTTCTTAGAGTTTAGTGTCAAGTTGAGTCTTCTAGACCCCCAGATCTGTTGAAGGGAGCTAGGAATCCTTGGGCCCCTAGCCCTGAGGGAGGTACCACTGGAGTGCCACAACCAGAGCACATTCACCATGGTAAGCTGTCAGGAAACAAGTAAGAACTGGATATGCTTCAAAAGTGCAGAAATAAAAAAAAAAGTGTGGGGAGAGTTGCATTAAATGGACATAAGGTTGTTTTTAAACTCTGCTTTGTGCATTCATTATTTACCCAGCGATCCTGACAATTTCTAGCACTAAGCGAAATAAGTCTAACATTAAATGTAAAATATTAGAATATTACATTTTATTATTTCAGACCACAAATTCCCTGAATGTACTTTGCTTACACCTGTAGATGTCAAATCTGAGCCAATACCTGCATATAAACAAGTATAAACACAACCATCCATTTTCTCCTTCCCTACATCCCTCAAGAATTAACAAATGTGGATTTGATCCCCCACAACAATGGCTGTTTGGATTCACAGTTTTGGCTCCATCTGTCATGTGAAGTTGGAATTCAGACCTACAGTTCAGCTTTGGCAGGGCCCATATTTTTTTTAAACCTGTAAGAAGCTTCTATTTAACTAAAAATAGTTGTTTTGATGTGTCAATATTTGTACTGATATGGAGTTTTACACCAAAGACCACATGGTAAGTCTTGGGCAAAATTATCTTTGCTAGAGAGGAAGCTTTTATTGTTTTTAGTGCATTTAACCCTTTGGGTCCTCTCCTTGGTTATTTGATTCTCCTCCAAGATTTTGCATGGACAACAGCAGGTCAAGGACTTCATCATACTTTTAAAATTATGAGCCAACAGTGTGCCCTTGTTGTGAAGAAGACTAACAGCATACTGGGCTGTATTAGGAGTGTTAGCAGATTGAGGGAAGTGATTCCCCTCTATTTGGCACTGGTGAGCCACATCTGGAGCACTGTGTCCAGTTTTGAGCCTTCTACTACAGAAAGGATTTGGACAAATTGGGGAGAGTTCAGTGGAGGGCAACAAAAATGGTTAGGGGGGGCAGTGAACAGGATTTTTGAGGAAAGGCTGAGGGAACTGGACTTTATGAGTCTGGAGAAGAGAGAAGACTGAGGATTTAATAACAGCCTTCAAATACCTGAAGGGTAGTTCCAAAGAGGATGGAGCTGGACAGTTCTCAGTGGTGGCAGATGACAAGGAGCAGTGGTCTCAAGTTGCAGCAAGGGAAGTTTAGATTGGATATTAGGAAAACCTTTCCCACTGGGAGGGTAGTAATAAAGCACTAGAACAGGTTACCCAAAAAGGCTGTGGAGTCTCCATCCTTGGAGGTTTTTAAGACCCAGCTACACAAAGCCTTGGCTGGGATGATATAGTTGGGGTTGGTCCTGCTTTGAGCAGGGGTTTGCACTAGATAACTTACTGAAGTCTCTTCCAACATTAATTTGATTCTGTGATTTGTAGTTATTGACTTACATTTGTAAAAAGAGCTATTTGTACTAAAATTGAATTTGACAACATGGAGTTGACTGCAGGTTTGATTTATAAGCAGAAAAAAACAGTACATGTAAACAAGGTATTTTTCTTTGTAGGTATGTGCAAGTAAGTTGCCAAATTCTAAATGGTATCTTTACCTGGCACAAAAATCTATTTATTATATTACGTGTGATTTGTGTAACTTTTTGGCACCCCCACCAAAATGTAAGCAATTAAAATTGGTATGGGCAGGGAGGGGGACTGCAGGAAATTGGGCTTGTGTCTTTGCCTTTTAATGATGTATAAGAATTTGGCAATGGTTTGAAGAATGATTTTGTTTTGTTCTTTTTAAAGACCTCTGCCTTCTGTGCTTTATATATTTCATTCAGCTTAGTAAGACCTTGAATCATCAAAGAACAAGTGAGATTTTGGTATCAGGAATTTCTAATATTTGTAAAGGATAAAAAGGAATAAAACCTATTTTAAAATAAATAATAATGCTTTTTGGTCACTTTCTAAAGCAGTAAACCAAGACAAATAGCCACCCCCTATTTATTTTTGCTAGCAGGTTGCTTTTAAAAAATCAGTGGTGTAGACCAGTGGTTTTCAAACTCTCCAGAATCCTGGGGTTCTATGATAGGTCATTAGAGATGCTGCAATTGGGGGGTAATACAGTGTGTTGGCAGACAGTATGCCACCATTGCCAAGCCTGGATCCACAACAGTCTTTAGGATAGGGGTAGGGGTTCCCCAGCAGAAGAAGTGACATGAAAGGTTTCTGTAACTTAAGGAATTTTGAAAATCATTGGTCTACACCACAAACAACTCAAATTGTATCTCTGTAAGTCCATTAAAACTCTAGAATATCCAGTATTTTAACGTTTATTAATTGTTAATGGGGTAGCGGTGCTCAAAAGAGCTTGGTAAGTAATTAAGTAGTAAACTTTTCCTCAGGGAGCTATCCAGTTGTATTGCAGAGGTGACTTAAAAGGAAGTGCCCAGTTCCTAAAAGGCCACTTAATTTCAAATGGGGTATTTGAAATATTCCCAGGTCCTTTTCCATTGCTAGCATGTTACTATCTCTCTAAATTATACTATTAGAATCATTTAGTAAATCATTCAAATGTCTTAAGACCTGATTTTCCCTTGCCTTGGAAAAACTCACAGGAGTAAGAAAATTCTAAAAATGTACCTCTTGCCACAGCTGGTCCAACATTGTCTCTTTAGATGTATGCTTACAGCCTATATCCATGGAAGCACATCCAAAGGTTTGGTAGTGCATAGCATTTAAAAACATGGTATAGGGGAGACTCCCCA